GATTTTTTCTAGATTAATACAATTTTCAATGTATTTTTACCTGGAATCCATTACGATTTTGTAAAATAATGAAAACTACTACAATTGTCTTGAGCTTTAAAACTTGACTTTAAACAGATTTTTACACACTTTTAAATCAACTTTAACTGTTGAAAAAGTCGTTTCTATTAATTAATGCAGTCAAAGCTTGGCTTTCTGCACAAAACCTCTGATGTTTTCTTGATATATTGTATAAATAGTATTTTTTTATTTACTATTTTGTTTAATTGTTTGATTGCAACCAAGTCCCTTGCTGAGAAATACAATCAGTTTTTAATTAAAGGAAAACCTTTTTTTCTTTTCTTTTTTACAAATTTCTCTTTTTTACTCATTTTTATCACAATTAAAATTAACAATGTTAAGCTCAATAGTTTCTACTTTTAGACAGAAAAATATTTTTATTATTTTATTTTTTCAAGATCTTGTATTCTAAACATATCCTGATCTTGTATTCTAAGCATAACAAGATCTTGTATTCTAAGCATATTTCGATCTTTAGTTCTAAACATATCCTGATCTTGTATTTTTAACAACTGATCTTGTATTCAAAACATATCCTGATCTTGTATTTTTAACAACTGAACTTGTATTCTAAATATATCCTAATCTTGTATTCTAAACATATCCTGATCTTGTGTTCTAAACAGCTGATCTTGTATTCTAAACATATCAAGATCTTGTATTCTAAATATATCAAGATCTTGTATTCTACACATATCCTGATCTTGTATTCTAAAAATATCCTGATCTTGTATCTTAACATATCCTGATCTTGTATTCTAAACATATCAAGATCTTGTATTCTAAGCATATTCCGATCTTCTATTCTAAACATATCCTGATCTTGTATTCCAAACATATCCTGATCTTGTATTTTTTAACAACTGATCTTGTATTCTAAACATATCCTAATCTTGTATTCTAAACATATCTTGATCTTGTATTCTTAACATATCCTGATCTTGTGTTCCTAACAGCTGATCTTGTATTCTAAATATATCAAGATCTTGTATTCTACACATATCCTGATCTTGTATTCTAAAAGTATCCTGATCTTGTATTCTAAACATGTCAAGATCTTGTATTCTAAACATATACTGATCTTGTATTTTACACATATCCTGATCATGTATTCTAAACATATCCTGATCTTGTATTGTAAACAGCGGATCTTGAATTCCAAACGTATCCTGATCTTGTATTTTTAACAACTGATCTTATATTCTAAACATATCCTGATCTTGTATTGTAAACAGCGGATCTTGAATTCCAAACATATCCTGATCTTGTATTTTTAACAACTGATCTTGTATTCTAAACATATGCTGATCTTGTGTTCTAAACAGCTGATTTTGTATTCTAAATATATCAAGATCTTGTATTCTAAACATATCCTGATCTTGTATTCTAAACACATCCTGATCTTGTATTCTAAGCATATCAAGATTGTATTCTAAACAGGTGGTCTGTTGTTCTAAACATATCCTATTCTTGTATTCTAAACAGCTGATCTTGTGTTCTAAACATATCCTGGTCCTAAAATTCTAAACAACCCAGGTTTTTGTAAAAAAAAGATTTTTAAAATTTATTTTTTTATTCCTTCAAGCCGGAGATAATGCACGAAGATATAACAAGCTATACTTTTAAATATACAATATATACATGATTGCATAAAGCATGAAACATTGTGTTTAATGAATAAAATNTCGTCTAATATAACAGGATACAGAAAACTGTGGAATAGGAAGACGACATTAATGCAATACTGAAGTACATTTGATGTTGTTTCATAGCAGATAGTTTTAATAGTGAGTTTTAAAATCACTTAGTAAGTAAAATGGGTCTGTTTACACTGCACAATTGCTGTACATCATGTACATTGGAGTATTTAAAGTCAGAACTTGAGTCTAAAAGTCGACTTCCTATTCCAAAAAATAAGGAAAACTGAGTTTAAAAGACAAAGTTGTAATTTAACATTTTATTTTCATGAGTACAGCAAGGCAGGTACTAAACCTTAAATTATTAAATAGGATTAAAATCCTCAGTTTAAAATTTATGAAGAGGATTAAATTCATTCATCCAAGTTTAGATATTAAGTAAAGGAATAACTCTTTATTTTTAATTAGATTTTTAATCAAGATCTTTACTCTAGGAGTAAGAGAATTTAGACAAAGATAAAAGTTGTCAACTCATGATTTACCAGTAGTTCTGTGAAAAATATAAACTTGGATTTCTGGTCTGTGAGGAGAGCAAGACATGATAATCCTTCCAACCAGAGCTGGAGGTTCTCTCCTTCTCTGGGTTCAAGTTTCATCTTATCCTTATCTCCAGGTTTAGCGTCTCCGCTCCCTCTCTTGCCAATCTTACAAAAACAAAGATTTAGACGTAGAAAAACCTGATATCCTCCTTCAGCCCTATTCCATCCATAATAAAAGTTTTTTTGAGAGTGGGTGAATGTTTTACAGGTTTTAATCTAAAGATAAAAATAAATGCCAGGAACACAGGTTAGGAATAAAAAAGTTAAGTAAATCCCTTATTCTCGTATCATTTACGGATTTTTTTATTTTTTGAATTTGTGAGATGATCAGGAGTAGAGGTGCCCTAATTTTGGAGTATGTTGCCGAGATTGAAAAGAGGGTATTCCAAAAATATTGCCATAAATCAGGGATTGTCTGAGTGACAACATAGGTTTAGTCCAAGTAACTCAAGTAACCTACTGACCTTGGCATCCCCCATTGTGTACTTTCCAGACATCTTTAAATCCCTAAATATAAAAATATTTAAATTAAAGTTGAAATAATATTAATAACTCAAACATTAAGAGAATTGCAAATTATGATTTAGCAGAAAATTCTTTTCAGAAGGATGTGTATTCTAAACAGCTGATCTTGTGTTCTAAACATATCCTGGTCCTAAAATTCTAAACAACCCAGGTTTTTGTAAAAAAAAGATTTTTAAAATTTATTTTTTTATTCCTTCAAGCCGGAGATAATGCACGAAGATATAACAAGCTATACTTTTAAATATACAATATATACATGATTGCATAAAGCATGAAACATTGTGTTTAATGAATAAAATTTTATATATATATAGATACAGGACTGCATAATTATATATATATATATATATATATTTGTATCCAGGATGGAATATGCAGATAAGAGCAGTTGAGCCAAATATGAAAAATATCCTATGTCCAGCCAAATATATGTAAATCTACTTATATATATGTTATATACTGGGTGATAAAAAACAAACAATTTATTTCAGTTGAAAATCTATAAATTATTTAAAATTAAATGAAGCAGCTGAAAACTAGATTGTTTAAATGTTTAATTCTAGTATTCAGGTTGGATAGATATAATTTAATCTGATAACTCTAATCTTGTTTCTGTGTTACTCTGTAGAATGGAAAGATATGGAGAATATAATTCCCGTAGAAATGATATTCAATCTTTATCAAAATATGATGCCAAGAGAGAGTTGTCTCACCATCCCGCAAATAAGTTGTGTCTCGACATCCTTTCAGAGTTGTCTAACCATCCTTTCAGAGTTGTCTAACCATCCTTTCAAAGTTGTCTAACCATCCTTTCAGAGTTGTCTAGCCATCCTTTCAGAGTTGTCTAGCCATCCTTTCAGAGTTGTCTA